AGGTACAAATTTAAATTATAACTGAAGTACCGTATTGTACCGGAGTCGGGTAACCCCTTCCATGATGTTTAAATAGAGACACTTTTTTTGCGTTTAGTTGTATTTCTAACCGGTGGGTTCAATGAATCGCGCGGGTATTGTGAAGCCGATATTGCTGTCCGCGTCCTCTGGCCTCAGCTCAATACCATAAATATATGGGACGCCCTTATCCTGCATGTAATCGATGCTTGTTCCTGATGCTGGATCTGCAAAAGCTCTTAGAAAATTAATTTCGATTCAAAGCAGTAAAATGCAAGGCAGTATTGTACGAATGAAGTAGGCTATTTTTTAAATGAGTGTTTAATGAAAATGACTATTTTTAGATGATGCTTTCATATAATATGGAGAGCGGGCACTAACTGGAGATGTGCAGCATAACTGAAAGGATCTGCCTGGCATGACTACTTCCGGCGCCAGAGCATGTCATCTTCATTTCGACTGCCGCTCCTGGCATTCTTGGATGAATGATAAAGCACATACTTTTTCCAGCCGCTGTTCTAGTGGTAGTCAAGCTTAAGTAGCAATATACCAGGCTTGCCGATGCGATCATGCGGTTTTGTGATGAACTTGAAACAACCAGATTGATAAAAGTATGAATGGCTATTACATGTGCACTCATGCTGGCTGTTTCTTGCTCTTTTCTTGCATTTGGGAGAGAAGGGCTCAGTTGGGATGGCAGTGTTGCATCACGGGACCGCCCGAAATCTTAACCTCCAGCATGCATGATTACAGTAGATTTTGCGTAAAGGGAGGACCTTTTCGAACAGATGTGGTGAAACTTTGATAGTTGCTGCTTTTCCGCACTGTCTGTGTATATAACAGAGGAGTAGCTGCAGTGGTTAGTAATATCTTTAATTGAAGTTGAGAAAAATCTCAAATATATCAACTAAACTAACACATCAGCTCAGAAATAGTTCCGAAGTTATAACTGGCACCGGTTCTGTTTCGAATTGCCTCCACTGCCAGATGCGCCGCGTGCTTCTGAAAACCTACCGTTTAAAAAAAAGAAATAGAATGATGCAGCAAATCCAAACTGCTAGGCCCAGATCTGTTCTTGAAATGTCATCTTCGGAATGATCGAGGTATTAAGGCATATATATGTTGAAAATACCTTCCTATGGATACCACAAATATTTAAGCCTACCTGATCGCCGTAATTGTTTGGCTTATCACTTGTGTAGCCCCACGGTGCGAGGAAGAGCTGTCCGTAGCTGTGCAGACTGATGTAAACCTTAAGATCCGGAATCTGATAAATAATAAAATCTCGCATACCGGCAGTTTCCACTTCACTAAACGCTGATGAGCCCGGATAGATGTTTGAGCATGGACTACGGTTTGCACCTGCTTCTAAACCAAACTGAACTAAATTTAAACATGTAAAAGCAAAAATTTGCAAAAAAGATCAACTTGCAGGAGCAATTTTATTTCCTGATTTGATTACGCATGCTTCACATTGAACTCGTTATGTAGTTGGTTAGTGCTGTTTCTACTGGAAAGCGAAAAATTTTCTTCTAGAAAAAGTTTGAAGCAAAATTTCACATTAATGAAAAATAAAAGGCCTATTAGTTAATAAATTTTCCTTCAAGTCTAAGCGAAGCAGGCGAAAAAAATTTGAGTGTGTCATTTTTTGAAAGGCTCTGAAACTTACCTCCCCAACGGTAGCCCCAGTTCCTATTAGCATCCGCACCAACGCACCACCTATTCACCGTCTTGTTTTTGGATCGTGTTTTCCGCCACAGCCGATCCTGAAATCGAACATACAGTAGTATAAGATAGCTTCTAATCGAAAATTGACATCGAGTGCTCGAGCCTTAAATCATCTTTACGCTGTAGGAAGATGAA